TTTTGAATTTTTGGAGGGGCTGAAATTGTTTGACTGTTTCAGGGCACATTTTTGACCAGTTTCAGTGGGCCTGAAGGAAAACTGCAGTTTTCCGCAAATAAAATACTTAACTGAAAGCATTCCTCCTAGCTCTGGATTTAATGTACTGCCAAGAAGATGGAAGCCCGTAGCACAATCCCTTCTGGTTTGCCAATGGCCAGTTGTACAACTGCCAAGAAGTTGGACTTCCTCTCACCTCATAGTCCATTCATGCAGGCTCATAAACATCACTAGGAGGACTGAGGACAGCAAGTCTGAGAGCATAGGCTGTTCTAGCAGGGACAAGTAAATCAGAAGCCAAATGCAGGTGACACAGAATTAAAGAGTGAGGGAAGCATTTGCTATGACATGTAAAATTGCAAGACAGGCTGGTCTAGCCCTTTTGGAGGGACTGTATCAGCTGCCTCTGTTGCTTCTCTTTCTGGAAGTGGCCACACTCCAAAGCTGTCTAAAACAATCCTCCTGTATCAATGTGTAATTTTTTGAAAGAGCTTGTAAATGTGCAGGGACTGATTCTTCACTGCTGTGCATGCTGGACAGTCATTCTCACCACTGCAAAATGCTATCAAGCGTCAGCGGTGGCATCTCACACCAGTCTGGCACTGGTGTAAATGGCTTCAGCGCCTTCAGCAAAAATTAGTTAAACCTAACTAATTTTTTAGTTAGGTTTAACTAAAATATGTTAGTTAAACCTAAAAATGAGGCTTAACCTGAGGAATATGTGCAGCAATATAGACCCCCCCTGTATATGTTGTAGGCAAAGGCCCTTGTATCAGTGCTGCTTGCCCATCCATATAGCTACATCAGAACAAGTATTTCCAGTATAGAGAGGTCATCTAGCCCATCAAGTGGTACTTAATATTCACTTTCTAAGTGTCTATTATCCTTTATGTTATTACAATCTGGTATTTCTCTGGTGATAACTACAGGTCTGTGTGCCTGGTGCTTTTAGAAGGAGTAAGTAGGGGTAGATGAAACTCAAAGGTTTCAGGCCAGATAAACACTTATCCACACAAGGAATGGCCCCAAGTCAGAGCTGGAGACAGATCCTACCCCAGACTTCCCCAAAGGTTTGGTGTGGTTGAATTTACTATGTCAGCCCATTACAAAGCCAAACCTGAGATTCATGGGTTTACACATTAACGTAAAAATGAACCATTAGGCCAGGGGTGGGCAAAATGCAGCCCGGGGGCCAGATGCAGCCCACCAGGCTATTCTATCTGGCCTGCGGGGCCCCTAGAAAATTTAGAAAAGTAATATTAATCTGCCTTGGGCTGCCTGTCATGCAGCCCTCGATGGCTTGCCGAAACTCACTAAGTGGCCCTCTGCCCAAAAGAATTGCTCGCCCCTGCATTAGGCTGACCCGCTCTGATCAGCACAGTGCAAGGCACTTCACCCATTAACGACAGCATCAAGCCCAGGACTTCTTTTTGAGTAATGCCATGCGTGTTAGAGAGATGTCCAGTCTTGATTTATAGATGTGATGTGATGGAGAATGCATCATCTCTCTAGGTAAGATCCTCCAGTGGTTAATTGCTATCGCCATTAATAATGTGCCTTATTTTTAACATAAGTTTGTCCAACTGGATCTCACTATGTCTTGTCCTGGTAGATAAGAGACATGTGCTATCAAAAATATCTTCCCCATGTTAGCACGTACTAATCTTCATCAAGTCCATCTCTTCTTTTGTATAAACAAGTAGATTACTCTTTGATTTCTGTTACCCAGACCTCATTTTTATTTGATCTTTACTAAACCCTGTCCAGCTTTGCAGCATCCTTTTGGACATGTGGGTATTGGAACTGGATACAGTAACCCAGTCATGATCCTATTGCTGCTGGGCACGCTGGGGTAATCATCATGCCACCACTCTGACATGATAGTCTAGTACTCAGGCATCCTTGCTCCCTGCTACAACATTGCATGGGAAGCTCATGTTCAACCAGTCGTCTTTCAGGGCCCTTAAGTCTTTAGCAGAGGCACTTCTTTTCAGCACGCTGCATCATATCCTTTAAGCATGGCCTCCTTTGCTTTGTTTGAGCTTGCATCTGTTGTACTAAAAGACCTGTTATTCATATAAACCCACTTTCCCCAGCAGTCCAGATCTGTCTGTGCAAGTGACCTGTCCCATCATTCTTTATCACTGCCCCAGTTTCTGCAATGTCTGCACAAAATGATTTTACTGTTTCTTTTCAAGTCACTGACCTAACCATTGACTAGTACAGGGCTGAGAGTAGAATCACAGGGAACCCCCTCAGAAACACCCCTTGCTTGTTGCAGCTGAGTTAATCCATATAACATGGGTTGCGCTGAATATATATATATATAGCAGGTCACTTTGCAGTTACTCACAAAGCTTGCGATCTCACCAGAAATCATGTCAAGCTTGTATCACAAGGCCGCTTGCCAACCAAACCTGGCCAGTTGGCATTCGTTATGCTGCCATTCTTTAATTTTTCTGATTCCATGTGGATCTGGAGTCAGCATGCTGGGTGCAGGGAGTTTCCAGATACAATGTTCCTCTCTGGTCCTGTGGCTCATTTACACTCTAGAGCCCCCCACTTCCCCTCCGGGCTATACACTGCAACTGAGAAAGGGTCGTTTGCCAGCTCTGCTTGAGAAGAAGTTAATCACCTGGCATGTAGCCTGAAAAAAATCAGTTTGGGAGGGAGGCTAGTATTGCTTCTGATTTTATCGCAAGAGGCTGGTGCCTTATCTAGAGGTGACCCTGCCTCATTCTCTCCCCAAGCCCCTGCAAGCTGCCATGTGCACATACAATTCTGACTATTGTATGCCCAATGTAAACCCAAGTTACTGTTTACTACCCAGAGCTCATCTACTTCCTGCCAGCCCCAAGAAATAAAAGCTAAAGGGAAACCCACAGGCAGCTGCTGTAATATATTCAAATGGGGATGCGCTTACAGTGTAGAGTGCCCTTGAAAAGTCAAGTGGGGGATATAATTGAAGCCAGTTTTTAAGCATACGATACCAGCAACCCATGAGTAGCAATTCATCATGAAGCAATGCTGTAACAGAGTAGTTCATTTTCATTATGCTTTGAGAATACTGCTGCAGACAGGTAGAGAGAGAGCCTGGTTGCATCAGAAATCCTCTCTTTGGGAACGTGCCATGCTGTGGTGAGGTAGCACAGTACCCTCCCCTGTTAAATGGGTCTGATCTTTTGCCCATTAATGTTTCCTTTCACTGCCAAGTGCATGCTCAGGTGGTGGGTGGTGGGCACGCAAACACACGCCACTTAATTTTGCAGCTCACTGAAAAGGCAAAGCTCTAAGTCACTGGTTCTCAACATTTTTTGTACCAGGACCCATTTGTAAATGTTGATAGCCAGTCTCAAGCCAGTGCCTCTCATTCCCGACCTACTGCCCCCAGGCCCCCGGTATGTGGGGCGGGGTGGGGGTGGGGTGTAGGGTATGGGGGGGCCCCAAGCATCCCCTTGCAGGCTGGAGCTCTGCCAGCCTGCAAGGGAAAAGCCACCATTTCCCACATTGTTCTCCTTTAAAGGAGAATCCATTTCTAAAGTTTGTTCACGAGCCTTTCATATATTTTTGTGACCCACCTTAGGGTTGCGACCCAGGGGTTGAGAAACACTGCTGTAAGTAATGTTTTATTGTGGAGGTGAAGGTTCAACTGGGACATGAAATTTCCTTGGCCTGAAGTTCCCCTCAAGGAAGGCCTGGAAGAAAACTGTCCCACTGGCTGCAGCATTTCAGCTACAAAGGTCTCTGCCCTGTGCCGGCTGAGCTTGGGGAGTGTGGAGTGCTTTTATCACGGGGAGTGATGTCTATTCAGCTAAAAACACAGGCTTCTCATTCCTCCCCTCAGTAACATAACCGAGGGGAATGGGGTTGCTGCCAGCCTGGGCACTGCCTTTGTGTGGAGGCACAAAAGCAGCCGTTGTCACAGCAGAAGTTGATTGCTCCATCAGTTGGTAGATCAAGAGCTGACAGTGGCCCAGATGCCATGCAACTGCCCTGGGCACAGAGCTGTGTTGCCTATGTCCCTGCTCTCTCTCAGAGGACCTTTGACTTCAAAGCTCCTATTGACTTCAGTGGAGCCAGAACTTCCCTTTTTATTCCTTAACATTTGTAAAGCATTTAGGGATGAAAGGCTTTGGAGAAGACCTGAGTGTCACTGTCACCCTCAGAGTGGAAAAGAACATGGATTTAAATTGCATGAAGGAGATGGGATGGGGGGTTTGTGAGCCCCCAAATTCAGTAATGTAAGGGATCAGCCCTGGGTGCCAACTTCGTGGGGCACCAAAATGGCAAACCCCAGGGAGTCTGCCCCTTGGCAGCAGCAGCAGCCACCTTGTACAACTGCAGTAGCAGCAATAACCAGGGCAAGCAACAGCAGCTGGGACATTTCTTGACTCCCCAAAACAGGTAATCCTGCTTGCCCCTGCCCCTGCTCCAGTTTTGGAGCCCCCATCCCTCTGGCACTAGCAGCACTTCCCCTACAAGGCCCAAACTGTGCAAGTGACACCTCAGCTCAAATGGTTTGAGTGCATCCGCTCTGCCCGAGCAACATTCAGCACAAGCAGCAGCCTTTTGTACTGCCCAGTGCACAGGATCAGAGCAGGGTAAGCCTTTATTCAGTGTAAAATAGAGCACCCTCTGGGATGCTCTAACTAAGCCAGGCCACTCACAGCGCCTATCTGGCATCCAGGCACCAGCAGGGTGTAGAGATCTTAGCTGTTCCTCCTCTCTTCCATGAATGCACCCTGGACTGAGCTACAGAAGGGGATGCCCTAGAATTGCATCTCCACCTAGGGGAAGGTGAACAGTGGAGAACGTAGCAACGTGGCACTGCAGTGACCTGGCAGGAGAAGGCAGTGGTACAGGTCAAGGACAAAGGCACAGGTTTTCCCTACTAAGAAATTTCCCCCTTTGCTTTTACCTGTCAGGGTAATTCTCTCTCTCTCTCCCTTTTTTTCCTGCAGGGAAGAAAAACTCTATCCTGCTGCACAAAGTCCAGCACGACCTTAACTCCGGTGTCTTCAACTACCAGGAGAACGAGATCATCCAGCAGATCGTGCAACACGACAGGGAGATGGCACACTGCGCTCACAATGTGCAGGCAGCCGCCGCTGCCGCCGCCGCTGCAGCCTCCACGCCCACCCCCGTCATCTGGACTCCGCTGATCCAGGCACCCCTGCAAGCCGCAGCTGCCACCACCTCCGTAGCAATAGCTCTCACCCACCACCCGCGCCTCCCGACAGCCATCTTTCGTCCACCAGTGTCTGTCTTGGGTTCCTTGGGCCAGCAGTCCAGCCAGACTCCGAGACAGCTGAAAAGGCTTCAGTCTTTGATCCCATCAGCTGGGCCGTCTGCAGTAGGCTCTCCATCCAGCACGCCGTCCCAGCTGCACACGCCAGGAGCCGAAACCCCTTCGTCATCTTCCTTCCACATCCAGCAGCTGGCGGGATTCTCGGCCTCTGCCGGCTTGGGCCAGTTCCACCGGTCCTCGATGGGCTCCCCGCCTGCTGGCTCGGGCCAACAGCATTCGAGCGGCGCGGCGTCAGCGGGACTGAGCCAGTTTCAGCAGGCGTCTTCGGGATCTCCCTTGGGGACAGCTCAGCAGACGCAGCAGACGCAGCCCCTTTCTGGCGGCACCGTGCCTGGTGGGTTCGGCCAGTTCCAGCAGGCTGCCGGTAGCTCCCCAACAGCTTCATTCACCCAGCTCTCATCCAGTTCACCCACGAATCTCCTCAACCAGTTCCAGCCCTCTCCCAGGCCACCACAGGTGGGACACTTACAGCAGCTCCCAGGAAGTGGGACTCTGGAAGGAGTGAACCACTTTCAGCCTCCTCCTTCCTCCAACTCTCCATCTTCTAGCTTAAGCCAGCTGGCACAAACCTCTGAAGGATCCCCTTCAGCACCGTGCCAAATACAACCAAGTGCATTAGGATCACTAACTGGAACGATAGCCCAGATGCATCAAGAAAGGCCACCTTTTGCCTCCATGTCACCATTACAGCAGTCTGGTGTAGCCTCCCCTTGTTACACCCCTTCAGGCCTTAGATCTCCTACCCAGAGCCCCGTGGCAGCGAGAACTTTTCAGTGCGGCCCTGCTGCGGCCTCCGGCTCTCACGGATCCCTGCGCATGCCTCAGACCTCCAGCCCTCCTCCACATGTCCTTCAGCCCAAGAGCACTCCATCGTTGCCACCAGGACGCCTAAGCCAGGACATCAAGTTGATTTCTGCTTCCCAGCCATCTTTGCCCCAAGAATTGGCTCAAACCCTGAGCCAAAGCTCTCCTCACTCCTCCAGAGAATCTGTTTCTAGCTTCTCACCTTTCCCGGGTGGAGGGGCTGGACTTCTCGGGAAGCCTTGCAGCTCGATTCCAGGGCGCATGACTTTGCCACGGCAGATGTCCTCAGGTTCTTTGCCGCACCCGCTAGTGTTTGGGGCCAGCGCTGCTGTCACTCCCTCCCTGACTGGTGGCGGGAGGAAAGAATCGCTAGTGCTCACGGGGGAGCGAGAACCTGTTAGATCTAAACTACCCTCCAATTTGTGAGGACTTCTCAAAGCTGTTGATGTCACTTGTGCAATTCAGCTTCTGATTAGACTCTCATGAGTCACTTTTTTTCCTTTCCTTTTTTTGGGGGGGGGGGGTTTTTTGGTTTTTTCCCCTTTCCCTTCCTTTCTTTAGGTTTAACTGTGATTAGAGATAAAACAAACAAAAAAGAACAAAAAAAAAAGATAACCAGGTATTCTTAGAGCTATAGATTTTTGGTCACTTGATTTTATAGAATATTTTAATACACGGAGCATAAGAACAATGAGGAAATGTGATCCAATGAGGAACACCCACAAAAGGTGTGCGCCTGAGCTAGAACTTGTGAACGACCAGCCATAGAGCCACCAAAAGGCTTTCCAGTTGAGACCTAGATCCCAGGTGGATGTGGGCAGTGCGAAGGCAGAATGAACCAGGTCCTAGCTGGTTAGTGGGGGATTGCTCCACTAGAAGTCAACAGAGCTCTGATGACATGCACCAGCTGGGGATTTGGCCCACGGGGCCTGCCTTTGTGGGAGTGGGGATTGGGTCACTGTCCACATCAGATGGGTTTGGATTCCTTCAAGGCTGCAGAGAAAGTATAAGGGCAGGGGATCAGCCGTGCCAATGCAGTCACCTTTAGGGATGTGGGGAGGGTCGGGCTTTTTCTTTTCTATTCTTGGACTCCTTCCGAAACAACTGACAACCTAGTTAGGGATGTACCTTCACTTCCAACAGCGCTGCTGCTCCAAAACTCTGACCTTCCCATTCCACTAATGCAAAAGCCAATCCCTGTAAAATCTCCATGGAGTAGCATCATGTCCCTTCCCCCTCCCCACACACATACATACTTCTAAAGGTACCAGCTGCCTATGGGAGGGAGAATCTCATCCCACCCGCCACTACAAGAGTGCACAATGTCATGCATGGCCAACAGACCACAAGCATTGTGGCTGCCCCACGGCCAGTAGCAAGCAGCAGGACACAACTCTTGCAGCCATGCTCTTGGCCTGCAGACTGCCCATGGCTCTTCTGGTGCATTCCAGCTGAAGGAAGTCAGAGCAACAGAAGGAAGGAGGAAAGGGAAGGCCTGTTAACCTCCCTGTCCCGTGGCCACCTGCTGTGAAGCACCAGAGCACCAAGTAGGATGGTACTTGGAAAGTAGGATGCAGTCCCTCTCCACCCTGCTACCCCCTTAGCTCAGGGGATCCTGACCATTGTGGCACTCAGGATTACACAGATGCCGTGCCAGGAGCCTGAAGGATCCAACCGATTTGCAACTAATTTTATATCGTTTAAATACACACACAACACACACATACAAACAAACACACACGAACACACACGTATGCTTCTCCTGCAATAGAGGAACAGAAATCATTTGCTTAATTTCACCAGCAATAATAGCCTGCAGCTGATCAGCTTTGGTTCTGCCCCGCACGAGGGCAGCACGGTCAGACATGTTTGGCCCCGGCAGGATCCTGGGGCTGTGTTTTGGGCTCCCCCGATTTCAGGCAGTCAAGGCGGGGGGGAGAGGATGGGATGCCACTGGGTGTGCCTGGCACTGAGAAGCCACAGCCTCTTCCTCAAGAGCAAATCACCGCCCCCACACCCACTCCCACTCTCACCCCCCTCCTTTTCCCCTTTCTTTGGCCTTTCTTCCTCTTTCTTTAACCAGTAGGTATTTCTGGCCACTTCACTGTACAGAGCCTGGTGCTCAACCCTTTTCTGTCGCAGTCCCCACCTTCCTCTACCCCTGTCTATCCCCAACTCCTTCCAGCACGCCAGGGACAGTGAGAGCATGCAGGACATCCAGCATCAGTGCCAAAACAACAGCAATGACCACAGGAGTAAGGGTCCTTCTGCCTTTCCCTGCCCTTCCCCCTCCCCAGAACACTGGCTGACTATTGATTTTTATACCGAATCATTTGCAAAACTCTTGACATGTGCCTGTATCTTGAATGTTGCTGCAAGGGTAACCGGGCACTCCTGCTTCATTGTGCTTTGGTGGCTCGGAATAAAGATGTAATCAGCTTCGGTCTTCCTTAAAGGGTCAAGGGAACTCTAGAAATTTTTTCTACTAACTAAATACAGCTATATCTATATGTGTGTATATACGTGTATATGTATATATAATAATATACACAGCTATACACATATATAATATACACATATATAATATATACATAGATAAATATATCCTAGTTTTACAATACATGTCAGTTTTGACTCTCCTGTAGGGGCACTTGGCAGGCAATGACTATAGTGTATAGACCCTACTTTCCAAAATATGTACAGGATCATCCACCCATCTTGAGACAAAGGCCCATTTGAAAACAGGAACCAACTGACGGAGGAGGGGGGAAGCAGATCATCACAACCCCCTGCCCTCAAGGATGTAAGACAAGACCTAGAAGAAACATTCAGAAGATCTTTTTTAAACCTTTTTTTTCCCCTTCTAGCCACATGCTGGACAGACTGACGATCATCTGGAGAGACTGGGATGGGGGGAAGCTGTCTGGGGTTGGGGAAGGGCAGGAAATGGGTGGGAAAGGTCTCCTGCAGACCAGCCACACTAAGTTTTTGTGGAGGAACATACAGCGACTGCTGTTTGGTACTTGAATTTCCACCAAAACCTACAGATGCTCAGACATGCAGAGAGGCACACATGCACCCTGAAGGCTGTCGCTGGGGGACTTGTGTCCATCCACCAGTTTGGTGACCATTCTCCATTTCGTTGGGTTCCTTCTTTTTGATTTTCTAGGGGATATTGTTTGCTTTCCGATTCTTAGCAGTGCGGTAGCAAATATTGAGTTACTCCGACTGGACCGCAGTCAACAATAGGCTTGTCTCAGTAGTTGGAACTATAACTAATTTTTCCTTTTTTTGGTGAGGGGTGGGAGAGCTGTAGGAGTGGGGTTTGGAATATGAAACAGACACAATAAAATAAATTAGTAAATAAAAAAAGTCCCTCTGTCTTGCTCTTTGATTTGACTGCTGGACCTGGGCTCACTGGAGAAGCCAAAAAAAAGATGGGTGTGCTCTTCCATTTCACCTCCTCTCTTCCCCATTGGCCCTACTTTCTGGAAGGGTAGAGGGGAAGCGTTCCTTGCCTCTTCTTCCTTGCCTGTATTTTTCCTGATGGCGCGTGTGCCCTGAGAGGTATTTCCATGTTCTTTGCCAAGAAAATAAAAGCAGCTGTCCTCTGGAGAACAACAGCCAAAGGCAAGCCCAGGACTTGTAAGTCTACCACACAGAGACAACAGTTGCTTATAGACCATTTGATTTGTCTTGCTGGAGATGCTAGAAAGCACTGGCTAAAACTCTCAGCCCTGTGGGCAAGGGATGCTGGGAAATATATAGCCATAGACCGTCCCCGACTCATGCTCGACATATTTATTTAGCAAATGCAAATCTGCAAAGCCAAGAAATAGCCTCCTCATTAACTGAGTTCAAAGTTATTAAGCCACCTCTTAGTTTGTAGAGGGAACATGCCACGGTGATGCGCAGCATTTTTTATCTCTCTCCACAAGTGCACTGTGGGTTAGCACTGAAGCCCCGGCGGTGAAGATTATCTGTGCAGGGGCCTTGGCCTGTCCTGAACCTATTTGGCAAGGACCACTCTCACCGTGATAGTTCAAAGCCAGCAGGTTGACAAGTGGGGTTTGTCACAAGGAACTTGTTTGTGCCTGCCCATGATTCCCATTCCTTGATCCAGAGGGCTTCTGCAAAGAGCTCCTGGTCAGGGAGGTAGCTCCATAAAGGGCCTTGTGAAGAAAGGTGAGCCTTGTGTGGATTGAACAGGTAACTATAGCAGCAGCAGACTTAGGGGGGGGCAAACCAAGCAACCGCTGGGGCCCCACACTTTATACAAATAAAACTTAATTACACTGACTATTTGTATTATCAATATTGCATTAAGATACTTTAATTGCAGTTTCAGGAGTAGGGCAACGTGAAATTGAAATAAAAAAATGTCTGACTTACTTATAGGTCATCAAAATTAAGCCTCAAAGGGCCCCAAATGACTCTCTTGCCCAGGGCCCCAACAACCCTAAAGCCACCACTGATCATAGAGTGGAAGGTAAGGTGCAGCACGGATGGTTTTGACCACCTTTTGGGTCATCATCAGATGACTGTCTTGATATGCATGATTGCATTCAGCTGTGTCAACAAAATGTATATGTGACGATGACTTTTGCCAGACCGTACTCTGCTGCTGAGTATGATAGGGCAAGAGCTGAAGTCTGGAGTGCTGTGACTGCAGCTCCCCATTTTGATCCAGCAAGCTTGGCTAGCAAGTTGTTTTGGGACTTGACCTTTGCTGCTGTTTTCTTTAGATGTTCCCGGAAAGTCAGGGTGCTATTTAAAGACACTTCCAAGTATGTTGGGCAGGGATCATGCTTTAATCTCTGACCACCCATATAGATGTTAGGTCCTTTTATGGCACTGTTACTGTGGACATAGAATACACTGGATACGGTTTTGGCAGGACTTGGCATGAGCCGCCATGTACTGCAGTGGTCTGCCTTGTGCTCAACATAGAAAGCAAACAAATGCTGGGAGCAAGGAAGGAGGCTCCCGTGGGGCTGGCTGATGCCAAGGAAGGGAACTGTATATTTTTTGAGGCTGAAACAGTCCTTCAGAATTTCAAATTTCATTGCTTTCTTTTAAAGGAAGGAAGTTCTTCTGTGCCTCATGCATGTGGATCCTTCTCTCGGTGCGCAGTGCTTCTTGGGAGTGTGAGGCTGCAGCGTAGGAGGGCACGTCCTCATGCTCTTCCCAAGTACAGGTACAGGCTAGCTCCCTGGCACACATGCTGAGAAGCCACCCAACCCCTCCCTCTCTGTCTGCATGTACCAAACCTGGAAATGGGGCAGTGGTGGGGGTGCATGCACCCACAGGGCAGCTTCACTGCTGCTTTTGCTGTGTGCAGAGCAGGAGCAGATGGATGGGATTTTCTCTGGCGTGCTCCCTGGAGTGCCATGGACATGGTGCAGACATGTTTGGAGCTCCCTCATACTGCCTGTGGCAGCAAGATGGCACTCACCAGGCAGCCCCTACCATATTGCAGCCTTTCATGGCATCAGTGTGTGAAGAGTTGATTGTTTAATCCATTCAGCGAGTG